GCTTTAAGATGGACACTGGCCAGACACGCTGATGAGCAAATAATGAGGGAGGAATTTAGATTACAAAGAGTAGATTCTGACACTGTGGAGCAGAGAAAATACAACCATATTTTAATAAAAGTCAAATAATTGTTGCTTTGCCTAGAATGTTCTACAGTATGGCAATTCCGTTTCACTTCAGTTTATTTTTTTAAAGTCCCAACATCACAACAGCTTTTGTTTCACCGGGTTTAACCTTTAACTGCTTAATTTAACTTAAGATTTAAATAACAAAAAGGGAGAAAATCTAAGAATTTGGTAAGGTAACAGATAATACTCCCTACAACTGTACAACTCACCTTTATGTAACAGATAATACTCCCTACAACTGTACAACAACTCCCCCTTATGTAACGGATAATACTCCCTACAACTGTACAACAACTCCCCCTTATGTAATGGATAATACTCCCTACAACTGTACAACAACTCCCCCTTATGTAACGGATAATACTCCCTACAACTGTACAACAACTCCCCCTTATGTAATGGATAATACTCCCTACAACTGTACAACAACTCCCCCTTATGTAATGGATAATACTCCCTACAACTGTACAACAACTCCCCCTTATGGAACAGATAATACTCCCTACAACTGTACAACAACTCCCCTTATGAAACAGATAATACTCCCTACAGCTGTACAACAACTCCCCCTTATGGAACAGATAATACTCCCTACTCCCTATCTTATTTGACCCCTGTCTCTTGCTATTTCTTTTTCTACTTATTTAGAATTTATTATTCACATTTATCTTTTTGTCTTTGTTATTTTATTACATTATGATGCATCATCTCCTGTGTTCAAATCATTTCCCTTGTGGATGAAATAAAGGCTAAGGTAAGGTAAAAGCTCCACAGTGAGGATGGATTTTCAGGATTTCTAGCAACAAAAAACCCCCCAAAAAACCAAAACTTATAACTGAATAATTGCAAGATACATTTACAAGTATCACAACCCACACAGTCATCAATACAAAGAAGTATCAAAACTAGATATTCATTTCCGTACTGAGGCGTCACAGAAACAGGACTAAATTGTATCTTTTCTCAACAGAAATGGCATTCATCCATATCAGAACTAAACATGGCAAAATGATAGACAAACCTATTCCTTCCTACTGAATAGAGTTTGACATTTTTGTATGGTCACAGCTCCGGTTTGGACCCCGTGAACGCCCTCCCCCTCACTCCCCTCGCCCCCCCTCCACCGCCAGAGAGGCAGCAGAAGAGAGCTCCACACAATGCGCTTTGATTGGCTCCGACTCAGGCCCTCTCACCACCTCCTCCTGGCCCCGGAGAGCCGCTCGAGAAGGAGGTGGGCACCAGGAGCTTTGTACTCGGCAGGTGCAGAGGTGGAGTAGGCCAATCCATGCACAAGACTTTTAAATAGAGCACGGGCGGAGAGCGCAGTTTGGCAGTGCAGCGGAATGAGAGGGAAAGGAAGATGGAAACTGTTTTCAAAGTTGAGATTTAGGCGATACTCAAATTTATATGTTTCTTTAGACAATAGAATGTGATTTCCAACATTAAATGGTAGTACTTTCTTTGTGGTCATATATGTGTGTGATCGTCAGTGGTGCAGTAGGTTCATGTTGGTCCATGTGTGTATACTAGTCTATGTGCTCTTATATTTGTTCTGAGACAGCTCAACATCATTCTAAAGACATTCGGAAAAGGTTAATTTCTGTCCTCTGAATTTGACTCTCAAATGAGTATCTAGTTTCGATACTAGTTTTAGTATGTACTATATTTGTAGTTTTCAGCATATCCTTCACAGTTTGTGTTGTGTAACTGAGATCGGGGGAGGTCACAATGTGGCAAAATAAAAATGAATCCAGATATTTTTTCAATGTTTCAATCTTATACCTAGTACTGTATTTTTCGGACTATAAGGTGTCCACGATTATAAGGCTCAGTAATCAATATTGTTTAATTATCTCATCTATTTTCATACATAAGCCGCACTGGATTATAAGACGCATTAAGCGAAATAAATGGACGACACTTGAGTCTGATCTTTAGTCCAGGCGTCCACGATCCATCGGCAGATCGTGGTGTAATTCGCCCGGTGTTGCCTCTCTGTTTTGGTCAGTGTGGATTATGAATGTGAATGTGGGTGGATCAGTTTGTTTTTTTATTGCCTACGAGGACGACTCAAATATACATTGAGTAATAATGTGTTTAATGCAGCTTTGTGCACATTTATTTACGTTTTACTGAAACAAAACGTAAAACCACATGACTCATTTGCATAAAGTATAAGCACTGACTAAACAGCTCACTGATGCGGTTCAGCTTCGGTCGGACTAAAGGACACGACTCATGACGCCATTTTGACAGATTTTTGAATGCTAAAATCTGTTCGAGGTCAGTAAGCACAAAAATAATTAATACATAAGCACAACCATAATTAATGCACACCAGATTATAAGGTGCACTGTCGATTTTTGAGAAAATTAAAGGATTTAAAGTGCGCCTTATAGTCTGAAAAATACGGTACCCTATTTCAAACCACATGTGTTTACTGACAGAGGACTGACTGTTGAATCAAAACCAACATTTCAAACTCAATTTCGGCAGGAAAGCAAATCGGCAATATTGAAGTTAGGATTCAAAAAGTTCTTCATCAAAAAAAATTTTCAGGTCAGTTTTAGATCCTTTAGATCCTTTGCCTAAAACTATCCTGAGAGGTTCACCTTTGTTGTATTATTACTATTTATTCAAGTTAGTATCTTGTATCAAATATTGTTTTAGCATCAATTTGTGGGTATTGTTTTTATTTTGACAATCTCGATTTTATAAAAATTCTGTTGTTTACATGTTTTTGGAGGAAATTGAGGTGAGTGTTGTGCGTGTAAGAGTTGGTACATATTAGGGATGTAACAATAACCAAAATATCCTGATAAAGTCTCTGAATAATATCGTGGACCATCACAATATATCGAATCACAAGTGTTTTCGCTTAAATTCATTGTTATGGTGCAGTAATAACTAAAAAAAAAACAGAGGGAACTACATAGACCATGATCCTTTGCACTGTTTCAGTGCAGACTACATGAAGAAATAACAGTTCTAACACTTTTAAGTCTTAGTTCTTTGCAGGATTAAGTCTTGTTAAGGCATTTTAAGAGGACAATTTTGTTAGTCTCCACTAAACATCGCAAAAATATTGTACCATGAGCTGCATATCGTGAAAATATCGTACAGAGAGATTTGGATATTGTTACATCGATAGTACATAGTCGTCTTGTTGAGAAATTTGAAACTAGACCGTGAATTTTAAAGATGAAATCATAAAAATGTGCGTGATTTGTGTTGTGGTTTGATTATTATAGCAAGACCGACCCTGCCACTCTTCAATTTATTTTAGAAACAATGTGGCAGCCTCAAATTTGTAACAACAATACTAATATCCATTTCATGTTCGGCGTCTCAAATGCGCTGTACTTTGATAGCGTCTCCTCTGTACACACAACCTCGTGGCTGTGTTTTTGCTCCTCTGATGTGCTTGGTTTGGCAGCGGCAGCACTGGCCCCTCCTGAGGCACACGGGGCCCTCGCACATGGATCTGAGAGAGAGCGAGAGAGAGTGAGTGTGTGGGCGGGCGGGAGGGTGGTGGAGCACAGGTGGAGCCGGGAGAACGAGGCGCGCACGGAGGGTCAGGCACATTTACAGGCTGTAATAAAGCTCTCTGTGGGCAGGCTCCTGGGGGCCCGCTCTCAGCCCCCACACACTCCAGTACATAACCAAACCACGGATACGCAATCATGAGTAGTACATAGAACCGGCGGTGAAGTAAACCGATTTTGGAATAAAAATATGCTCGGATTAACACAACTGCTCCTGATGGGGTGGATGCAAAGGGCAAATTTCATGTCTGCTAACTGAAAAGGTGCACTGTGGAACTTTTTTGGTTGCTGGTACACCACGCTTGCCACTGATTTGTCTAGAATGTTCCATGCTATCGCATTAAATATATCTATCTTGTGTGTAATCACAGTTAATTTTATTTATTGCTCAAAAATACATTAAAAACATGGATTCTTACTGGGAGTGGGGGTGCCTCTCCACAGATCTGACCTGTACCTTGCTCTACCTTAGTTGTCTGTGATACTGTTGGAACCCCGTCTTCAGGATCAGGATCAATATCGATGAAAATTCTAATCAGAAATCTGTGGAAGTCTGAGCAACAATTTTACGATCACAATTTGTGCAATTTGTGTTTTGCGATATCGTGTCGAGTAATATGTAGTTTTGCTTTACATTTGTTTACTTTCATAATGCATGAATCACTAAAGGTGCTCTGTGTAACTTTTCTGTTTGGACGTTGCGTGGGATATTCCACAGTATGGCATTACAGTCAAACCTGAAAAGTTCTGTAGTGCACCTTTAAAAGTCAAATAGAGAGTGCACAGTTTGAACATAAAATCTGTCATGTTTTCACCACATACTTCACTGATCCTGATCTTCAGACGCACAAATCACCTGCTCCACACTCCCACCCCCCTCACACCTCACACTCTTAACCAGGACCACATGTGTCCATCCGCCTGTGTCTGCGCAGTCACAACATCTGTAATGTGTCCGTCCGCCTGTGCCTGCGCAGTCACAACATCTGTAATGTGTCCGTCCGCCTGTGTCTGCGCAGTCACAACATCTGTAATGTGTCCATCCGCCTGTGCCTGCGCAGTCACAACATCTGTAATGTGTCCGTCCGCCTGTGTCTGCGCAGTCACAACATCTGTAATGTGTCCATCCGCCTGTGCCTGCGCAGTCACAACATCTGTAATGTGTCCGTCCGCCTGTGTCTGCGCAGTCACAACATCTGTAATGTGTCTGTCCGCCTGTGTCTGCGCAGTCACCACTTGTGTGTTACGTATCCATCCGCCTTGTGTTTCTCAGTGTCCGCTCACAGCATCTGTACTAACGTATCCCTCCGCCCTGTGTCTTTGCAGTGACCACTTACAACAATGGGCTGGAGGCGGGCTCGGACACAGATGATGAGGACAAGCTGCACATTGTGGAGGAGGCGGACGGGGCCGAGTGTGACAGCACCCTGCCTGATGAGGAGCACCCCAGGGAGCAGTGCTGGGACCACGGTGAGTGTGCACACGGCCCTATCTCCCCGCACAGCTGGGCCCCATGCTAATGCACTCCTCCTCACAGCTTAGCCCCCTGTCCCCGGGCCTGCTCTTACAGCCCCACGCAGGGAGGCGGATAATCACATTTTACACTCACAATCTTATTTGCACAGAATATGACAAATATGCCACTGGAGCTCATCTCTGGAGTCACTTTGAGCTACTTTGATGTGCTCTCAGAGCTGGTGCACAGTCACTTGAGTGAACTGGTTAATTGTGGTCAGCCATGGATTTGGTGTGATAGAAAGAAAACCTTTATTTAGCCCACATTTTGGGACATTTCAGTGTTGCAATACAAAGTTTTAGAACAGCAGAAAGATAGAAACATGCAGTCAAAATCTCGAGAAAGTCTAGAAAGTCATGTCCTGGTAAGTCATGGTTCAAACAAGTGTTTGATTTATTTTCCATACAAGTGTAAGAGACTTTGAGCTGGTACAGTTCAGTCCAGTTTGATGTTGAACGTTCAGTATGGGTGATGTCATTAGTGCAACTGAACATAGATTTGTGGGTCTTGGGATTTTAAAATCTTAATTCTAGCATTGGCCAGTGTTGACTATCAGCTACGGCAGCATCAGCATCAGTTTGAAAATATATGGGCCCATCTTTAATTCACACATTTTAATCAGTTCATGAATTGAGCAGTGAGCATGTCTAGAACAACTTAAAATGAGTGTGTGTGTTTTTTCATTGAATCAAAGTTGAACCTCTGTAACTGTGAGTCAACACGATGGGACAGGACACTATTCCACTGTCGAGTTCAACTAATCCCAGATTCACACCGTGACTTTTTAAAGCCTATCACTCACAAACACAGATCACGCTGAACTTTTCCCGTGTACTTTCCTCTATTGTGCTCACCTGGGTCTGTATGACTTTGAACCCAGCTGACGTGCCCCCTGTGTGCCCCCTTTATGCCCCCTCCCCCCGTGTGCCCGCGGTGTCCTCCGTTTGTCCCATTGTGTGAGGGGAGGGGGCAGGAAGCGGCAGACTCCACAGACAATGCCAGCGCAGCCTGAGACCTTCACGTCCCCCACACCAGTGCACTGATCACAGGCTGTTTATGGGACTGCTGGGCACAGGGGAGGAGGGGAAGTGGAGGGAGGGGGGGGGTACTATGAACTCCTGTTTACCTCCACCCGGGGAAGTCACGTCATTGCACAGGAAGCTACGTCACCCCCCCTCACCCCCACCTCTCCCCATCCAGAACAACAAGTCCAGGTGCAGGTGTACGACCAAGGTTCTGATAAAGACTTTTTGACACTGTGAGTTGTGTTCATTTAGATTTTAAAAGAGCTACATTACAAATACTTTTGAGCTTTATGTCATGTTAGAATGTTTTTAATTCCTCAAATACAGACCTGGAGTTGTGTTTTGTTTCCTACACACGTGTTTGAGTAATCCTTTATTTTTAGGCTCTGTATCTCCAAAGATCAAAATGCTGTGTTCCAACATGTGATGTCATGATGTGAGAGTTTTCAAATGACGAGCTTCCTTTTTAGTTCAGTAGAGATGAGCTGAAATGATCCACATGATTCTAGTGAAGGTGTTTGCAGTTTAAAAACACAATGGAGCGTAATCACAAGGTGGCACAAAGTGTTTTCATACTGAGAGGAAAACTCAACCTAAATGTGCAGGGTTAAACGTGTGAATGAAACGAAACTGAATGAAACTCCAGGTGTGTTTGTGATGAGGAAATGTTAGAATAGATCAGAGAATAGTGTCATATGGGCCCTAAACATCTAAATCTACTACTTCTAGTCCATGTTGGTCATTTAAGTGCAAAAATGTGCAGATTTGCGCTCAAAAACGGACTGTGTGCTCTCTCCTGTGACCAGTGCAGTTTCAAGTACTAGGTGACATCACACAGCACTGCCCTGATTACAAACATGTGAGTCTGAACCGTGAAGACCTGTTAGAACAATCACATTGGCCACGTTTACATGACGTTTTTTATTCCGAATTAATTGTTCTGAATGAAATAGTTCTGAATTAACATAGTGTCCTTCAAGTTTACATGGAAGTAATAATTCTGAATTGAGGTTTACATGGAAAACTCGTTAAATCGTCTTTATTTAATTCTGCTCAGCATCTGGGGGTGGGGAAGGTTCTGATTTGACAGAGACACCGACATATTTACGTCGACCGGAAGAAAACACACACTTCAGCTGCTACCGGCTTTTCTGTCATCTCGGTTTGTCGTTACACCACGGACACAAACATGATCCAAACTTTGAAATGAAAATTACGCAACATTCGGAGAATTCTCTCATCACACTTTACGTCTGTCAGCTGGAATAACTTAATTTGGCTCATTTTCATTAGGAATTAAGTGTTTACATGTATGTTTTTAAAGCAGAATTCATTTTTATTCAGAATTAAATTATCTTTATTTGGAATTAAAGCTCTCATGTAAATGTGGTGACTGTTCCTCATATGTTCAGACTCCGCTCTTCCTCCCACACGCCCAGGAATTACAGAGACCGGGTCAACAAATCTATAGTCTGATTTGTTACACAGAATTCGGACCTCCAGCTCAGTTTAAACTATAAGGATTCTGCAGTGTTGTGGTGTGTTTTGAAAGTCTGGTTGGCTGTGGCTGTTTTCACTTACCATATTTCCCGCACTATAGGGGCTCTGGATTATTAGGCGCACTGTCACTGAATGGTCTATTTTCGAACTTTTTTCACATATAAACCGTACCGGACTATAAGGCGCATTAAACGAAACACAACAGTTCGATAAGTCAGTCAAACTTTATTTAAAGTTTTCACAATAACTCTCAACTTTGTTCAACTGTAACTTGTAAAAAAAAATACTGTCTGAGATAGGGATGGGCATGATTAATCGATAATTGATCATTAAGAATTTCATCGATTACGTTAATTTTAATCGACAAACCGAATGTAGGTTGCTGTGTGTAGCGTGACCAAACAGGTGTGTACATGTGTCTCTGCATCAGAAGGAGCGAGCAAACACAAACATTCGGTCAGTCTGCAACGTACTGAAGCACAAATGTGTATTTAACGATGATTTGTACAAGAAATTCCACGCTTTCCGTTGCGTTTGGGACAAGTGTGAGTCCATGTGCACAGTGTATAAAGCAGGAACATATGTTTCAGTGGGAAAAAGTTTTACCAGGTGAGAGTCGCTCAATGTCGATGACGAGTCCCCACCTCCCTCCCCCCGTACGGTGTCCTGGTTTTGACAAACGCAAATCTGGTCACACTAAACTGTATTCACCTGAGTCATGTCTTTTAATCCGACAGAAGTTGACCGCATCAGCGACACAAGAGCTGTAGTTTTATCTTCGCTTAGTTTATGCAAATTAGTGATGTGGTTTTAAGTTTTGTTTCTGTGAGAGTTGCGCAAAACTGAATTAAACACATTATAATGTCAAACGGATTGATGTGGCTCTAGAGTGGTTACGGTTTATATGTCGTAAAGTTGAATTTATTTATGCAAGTTAGTAGTGCAGATAGTAATAATAATGACGATCATTTTAATATAAAAACATTAATGATTAATTGATAATCGATCGATTAAGAAAATTTCATCGAATGCCCATCCCTAGTCTGAGATGCTACATTGTTAGCCTATTCACAATAAATCATAATCGTTGAAACAGTTGGGTGATTACGGCGTCCAGCACGCCCACATCCCTCTCGTCATGATCCGAGTCAGTGTGGTTACTGTTCCCTGGCAGTTCAGTGATGATTCTGGTCTAGGTGAAAGCTCGAACCAAAGTTGATACTGATCCACGATCCATTGGCAGATCGGTCTCATCCACTGCTTATAACAGTCTTGAGTTTAAAGTGGGCATTGTGAGCGTGTCTCTTGACAGGTGCATTTTGATATTAAAAGGAATCACAGTCTGTATTACTCCTGATGCTCCTGACTACAGGAGCTGTAATGCTGCAAGTGGAGCGGCTTTATAGTTTACTAAAGTTGTACTGAGACACCCCAGTAAATTCATATATAAGGTGCACAGTTGTTTTTGGATGAAATGAAATGCTTTTGAGTGCGCCCTATAGTGCAGAAAATACGGTATATTGTATTTATATCATGTTAGTTGTTTTTCGTAGTGTTGGATGTTTGTTTTGTATAAATGAGTTGTTGGTGATGACCTTATAAAGTAAAATACTCTACTACTACAGTAGTCTGCAGTACTAGAGGGAGTAGAGTTGGTGTTGTGTTGTGTACGTCCCAGCACTTAGCCTGCCCCCTGCTGTCCTGGCTCTGTCCCTGCTCTGAAGTGTGGTACGGTTTTGGAGCAGAGGATTGTGGGGGATTCTCTTGAAAAGCTCAGGCTGTGGTGAGTGTGCTCAGAACACGTTCCTCACCGCTCTTTTCTTCACACCTCTGTCTCCCTCTCCCCTCCTCCTCCCCCTCCTCCTCCTCCTCCTCTTCTTCTTCTCCCTGCTCTGGCCTCTGGAGCCGCCTTCATCCCAGGACACCACCCTCTAATCTTCTCGTCCTGCAGCTCAGAGGGCTCCAAATGAAAGCCTTTCCCTGGAGTCAAACACCAGTCCTCCTCCCCTCTCTCTCTCCTCTCCTCTTCCTTCTTTCACTCTTCTCCTCCTTCCTCCTCTCTCTCCTCTCCTCTCCTCTCCCCTCTGTCATCCCCTCTCTTTCTCCTTTCCTTTCCTTTCCTTTCCCCTCTTTCACTCTTGTCTCTCTCACGTCTCTCTCCTCCTCCCTCCTCTCTCTCCTCTCCCTTCTTTCATTCTACTCTCCTCTCTCTCCACCTCTCTCTCATTATTTCTCTTCCTCTCTCTCCTCTCTCCTCATCTCCTCTCCTCCTCTCTCGCCTCCTCTCCTCCTCCCTCCTCTCTCTCCTCTCCCCTCTGTCCTCTCCCTCTCTCCTCTCTCTCCTCCCCTTCTCTCTCTACTCTCCTCTCCCCTCTTTCACTCTCCTCTTTCACTCTCCTCTCCTCTCATTCTCTCTCTCCTCTCCTCTC